GTAATGACAATCTTATTCTGTCATATTCATTCTTATATACATAGACATCCTTACCATGTTAAATATTGCTTTCCTGGCATGATCCATAATTCCAGATTTCTTCAGCTACTTAACTGGAACCTAGAAGCCAGAAAACATAGTATTAGCAATGCTTCATTGGCATGAAAATTAATTTACAAAGGAACAGCAACCAGGCCTCTAAAAAGTATTGATTTGTTTAATAATGAAATTTTATTTGATCATTGTGAACCACCCGGCATTGTACATGTTTTAATGTACATCTTGTACATTAGATTACATGAAGGCTAAAACATAGAAAGAACGTTTGCAGGAATTGGGTGTGTCTCATGAAAAGAAGGACTAGGGTTGACACGACAGCAGCCTTCCAATATCTCAGGGGCTGCCCCAAAGAAGAGGGGGGTCAACCTATTTTCCAAAGCACTGAAGGCAGGATAAGAAGCAATGGATGGAAACTAATCAAGGAGAGAAGCAACCTGGAATGAAGGGAGAAATTTCCTGACAGTCAGAACCGTTAATCAGAGGAAGGACTTGCCTCTAGAAATTGTGGCTGCTGCAACACTGGAGGCTTTTAAGAAGGGACTGGACTGGACCACCATTTGTCTGAAAGGGTGCAGGGTCTCTTGCTTGAGCAGGGGGGGCTTGGACTTAAAGACCTCCAAGGTCCCTTCCAACGGTATTATTTTGTTAAACGATATTAGAACCCGGCATCTATTTCCCAGAGATTCAGCTACCACGCCCTTCTGCTCTTGCAGTTACTGTAATTATCAATCAATAATGAGGTTTCCAGGCATTAGATCATGTCCAGGGTAGTAGTAAAGGCTTGCTGACATTATGCTAACAATAACCTGGCAACTGCCAGAAAGCAGAAAGCACTTCCGCAGCCAGTAACCACCCTCTCTCGACTTGAGATATAGAATATAGGACCCAAAACCCAGGGAATTAATCCAAACTTTAAGGATGCGAACAATTTCATAACAGCAATGCAAACATGGGCAGCCCAGGCATGAGGCTTCAACTCCCTCCTGTAGCCAGGGTAACCTTCAGCAAAATCTACATTAAGAAAATAGTTTTTTCTGTTCGCATCTCCCATTGTAAACCCGTATGCAAACTTGGAAAGCTGTGGAGCTGATGTTCAAACAGACTCAGTCTTATTACCCACAAACTGTGCTAAATGGGAAATATAACAAAATCAACATAAATGTAGATTTGGGACAAATCCTGGGGATTAAAAGATCTTGATAAAAGCAGGATTAGCACTAGAAACAGAGCAGTGGAGAACAAACACACACACACACATCCGTTTCTCATCTCAGGCTTTTGCCAACACGAGCTATCAAGATACTCAGAAGAGAACAAATTGCTTTTAAATTGCAATTACCGGTGATTATGTTCCTTTGCTTCCCCTTTCCTTAACTCTTATTAGACAGTGATTTGCAGGTAGTCCTTGGTTTATGGCCACAATTGAGCCCAGTAATTCTGTTGCTAAGCAAGGCAGTTTTAAGTGAGTTCTGCCTCATTTTATGGCTTTTCTTGCCAAGAGCTGTTAGTTGAGAATTGCAATTGCAACATTGCAATTGCTCAAGTTAGTGATGGGTTAAGTGCAGTGAATCTGGCTTCCCTACTCCTCAGAAAGTCTCAAAAGGGGATTGCGTGATCCCGGGACACTGGCAATCGTCGTAAATATGAGCCAGTTGCCAAGTGTCTAAATTCGGGTCATGTAAACCACAAGGATGCTACCAATGGTGTGAAAAATGGCCATAAGCCACTTCTGTCTGTGCTGCTGTAACTTTGGTCACTGTTAAGTCAAGGACTATCTGGATTAAAATACTAAAGTCAGTCCATCTTGCTGTGGTATGGAGGTTACCAAAGTGCTGTCTTCCTTGATTTAACTCGGTTTATTTTTGAAAAATTGGTTTTATCAGATGCTGCTTTGACTATAGTCCTCTACACTTGTGTGTGTGTGTGTGTGTGTGTGTGTGTGTGTGTGTGTGTGTGTGT